CCCCGCCGCCCCCCCCACCAACACACACACACACACACTGTTGTTTATCCTCAGACTCACAGACAGACTCACAGACAGACAGACAGACAGACTGCAGTCTTGTCTGCTGTCAACATGTCGCCACTTCCTCTCGCCTCTTTAAACACTAACACACTGTTCTACACGAGCGCAGTGTCACGATGCTTCCCATTTCCACCATGAAACGGAGTGTCACTCACACACACACACGCACGCGCACGCGCGCACGTAACACCACTCACCGAGTTTCCTTAGTAATAGGGAATAAATCTGATACAACTACTGTCAATAATAATAACAACAATAATAATAAACTGTTATTTATTGATGGAGACACGACGTGTACAGCGCGTGTACACAGCGTGTACACAGCGTGTACACAGCGTGTACAACCCCAGTACTGTACGTTACCCAACATTTTGCCTCCAGGCGACATTTTCCTACCACGTGACACCTTAAAAGCAGCTCCATGTTATAATAATAATATTAACTTTGGCAACAATGAAGTTTTATATAAAAAATATTTTTTGTTGCTGAAAAATAATATTTTTAGTAGAAAAGTGACTGAATTTTTTATTCGTTTTTAGTGTAATTTTTTAAAGTTTTTAATAATTATAATTAATAATTTAATACTAATAAAGCATTGGCAATTGGATACAAATTGTTATGAAATTACATTTCTGAAATACATGAAAATTAAATAAAAACAAAATAGCAAAAAAAAAAAAAAAAAGCTTAAAGTCATTGTAGACCTGTATAGTTATTAATGAAGTAAAAATGAATCATAAAAATACTATTTACTAACATGTAGCTGTGTAAGGAGCAGTAGAGACCAATAAAGACAATCTGATTTATCTGAGCTAACGGTTCGGTTTATTTGTCAAAAACGACTAAGGTTTTTTTTTTTTTTTTTTTTCTTTTTTTTTCCTCGGTGCATTTTTGTAGCCCGCTGTGCCGGTAGTATTTATGATGATTTCCTGTGCAGATTAAGTCGGTGACAGCAGCCTGAGCTGCAGGAGTTAACATCTGAGCAGCGACTCCTCTCAGGCGTTTGACTCTTCTTCAGGTGTGGATGTGGAGACAACACGAACACACCTGCCAATTTCCCCACGCGTGGATTTAAAGGCGCTGTGGATCTTTTGTTACCACGTATATATATATATATATTTATATAGATAAATCTGGGCTCCATCAAAGCCCTGCTGCTCTGTGTGGAGTGCAGAGAGGAAGTGCGGTGTCTCGGCTTTAATTTTTCATCCCGCTCCCTCTCCGCCTGCCTGCTCTGACTCTTGTTACAGGGGCTTTTCTCCCGGATTGACGCGGGAATCCCTTCGCCATCACTCTCGGTTAATGGTGCGCCATATTTGGCCCTGAGCTGCAGCCGCTGCAACCATCACAACCAATAATCTTTGCTTTACTCGGCGCTCCCGTATCGATAGCTTCTCTCGCCTGGGGCGCACGCTTTGATATGTTAATGCGGAGCGGGGCCCCGGATTCAGCCCACATCATATTAATGTTGTTCCTTCTGACTGCGGCTTTGGCGGCAATGAATATTCACGTGAAAGATTTTTTTTTTTCAAAAGAAAAATCACTCCAGTAACGCGGCTCCTACTTAGGAGGAGTCGTCTGTGTTTTTAATCAGTCTTTTTTTTCCCTTTTTTTTTCTTCCCCCCACATCGAACTGATCTGTCAGACAGCGCGCCCCCAACACTACAACTCATGCACGCGCCTTTCTCTTTTCCCCTCCTTTTTCCTGTCAAAACGTCACGGAGCCTTTTGTTATTTCTAAAGCTACATAAACATCGTTGTTAAAGTGTAAATGGAACGACACTTGGCCCGTGTATGTTTTTTCTTTAATTTTCGTGGCAAACTGGTTAAAAAAGAGGCGCTTGATTCCGCGTGTGATCCCGCCCGCCGTTCGCGCCGCCGCCCGAGGCTACTCTCCGCTGCTTAAATACCGTTATCGCCTCTGGGCCCGCGCTCCACTCACTGCTCTGCACCGGCAATAGCTCTTTTTCCATCGCCCTTGGCAACATAAAATACAAAATACTTTGGATCAAAACATTTTTAGGGGAATTAATATGATGTGAAGCTGCGGCTTTTACAGACGCGCGCCCCCTGTCAGAGAGCGTGAGGCTGACAGACAAGTCCGCCTTTGCTACTTGAGTGTCACACACACATATACACACACACACTACACAACATGACTTTACCAATAGTACGACGTAATCGATTCCGTCCATTTGACATAGTATATTTTTTGACAGCCCGTATGAACTACAACTCCCACAATCCCACGGTGCTGGAAAACGCCAGACTTTGCTTGAGCTCTATACGATGATGTCACAGGTGTCACTGTCCAGTTACTGCTGCAAAAGACACGGGACTATTGAGGTGCTGAAGAGAAATAGAGCTGCAGGTGGAAAATCAGCCTGTGTGTGTTGTAACGGTATGGCGCTATCCAGGGTCCTGAAGTGCCTCTATCCAGGTGCTGAAGAGAAGGTAGACCGCATGTGCGCCTTTCACACGTGTCGCTGTCCAGGTGCTGAAGTCAGGAGTTGATTTATCGTAACTACAGCGACAACAACGACGCCACATTTTCTGTCATTTTCTCAGAGCTGGATTT